TGGTGATGATGTTGATGATTGTGATGATGGTGATGATGATGGTGATTATGATGACGATGAAGATGATGATGATGATGATGGTGATGATAATGATGATGGTGATGATGGTGATGATGGTGATGATGATGATGATGTTGATGATGGTGATGATGATGATGATGTAGATGATGATGGTGATGATGGTGATGTTGATGGTGATGATGGTGATTATGGTGATGATGATGGTGATGATGATGGTAATGATGACGATGATGGTGATGATGATAATGATGGTGATGATGTTGATGATGGTGATGATGATGATCGTGATGATGATGATGATGGTGATGATGGTGATGATGATGGTCGTGATGAAGATGATGATGATGGTGATGAAGATGATGGTGATGATGGTGATGATGGTGTTGATGGTGATAATGATGGTGATGAAGATGATGGTGATGGTGATGATGGTGATGATGATGGTGATGATGATGGTGATGATGATTATGATGACGATGATGATTGTGATGATGGTGATGATGATGGTGATGATGATGGTGATGATGATGCTTCACCTGTGTGGTCACGTGGCTAGGCACCAGCTGGTTCAGCACTGCACTGGGCTCTGTAGCGTCTACAGACTCTACAGAGAAGTTGCCGCCGATGGAGATGGCGGTGGAGAGATCTTCAGATTCACACGCCTAGAGACGCACAGAGACACATAGACACCCATAGAGACACCCATAGAGACCCATAGACACCCACAGAGACACCCATAGAGACCCACCCATATACACGCACAGAGACCCATAGACACCCACAGAGACACCCATAGAGATCTTCAGATTCACACGCCCAGAGACCCACAGAGACCCATAGACACCCATAGAGACCCACCCATAGACACCCATAGAGACCCATAGACACCCACAGAGACACCCATAGAGATCTTCAGATTCACACGCCTAGAGACGCACAGAGACCCATAGACACCCATAGAGACCCACCCATAGACACCCATAGAGACCCATAGACACCCACAGAGACACCCATAGAGATCTTCAGATTCACACGCCTACAGACCCACCCATAGACACCCACAGAGACCCATAGACACCCACAGAGACACCCATAGAGGTCTTCAGATTCACACGCCTAGAGACCGATAGAGACCCATAGACACCCATAGAGACCCACCCATAGACACCCATAGAGACCCATAGACACCCATAGAGACCCACCCATAGACACCCACAGAGACACCCATAGAAATCCACAGAGACCCATAGACACACATAGACACCCATAGAGACCCATAGACACCCATAGAGACACCCATAGAGATCCACAGAGACCCATAGACACCCATAGAGACCCACCCATAGACACACATAGACACCCATAGAGACACCCATAGAGATCTTCAGATTCACACGCCTAGAGACCCACAGAGACCCATAGACACCCATAGAGACACCCATAGAGATCCACAGAGACCCATAGACACCCATAGACACCCATAGACACATATAGACACCCATAGAGACCCATAGACACCCATAGAGACACCCATAAAGATCCACAGAGACCCATAGACACCCATAGAGACTCACCCATAGACACACATAGAGACACCCATAGAGACCCACCCATAGACAACCATAGAAACCCATGGAGACACCTATAGAGACCCATGGAGATCCTCAGATTCACACGCCTAGAGACCCACAGAGACCCATAGACACCCATTGAGACCCACCCATAGAGACCCATAGACACCCATAGAGACACCCATAGACACACATAGAGACACCCATAGAGACCCACCCATAGAGAACCATAGACACCCATAGAGACCCATAGACACCCATAGAGATCTTCAGATTCACACGCCTAGAGACCCACAGAGACCGATAGACACCCATAGAGACACCCATTGAGACCCACCCATAGAGACCCATAGACACCCATAGAGACCCATAGACACCCATAGAGATCCTCAGATTCACACGCCTAGAGACCCACAGACACCCATAGACACCCATAGAGACCCACCCATAGACACCCATAGAGACCCATAGACACCCACAGAGACCCATAGACACCCATAGAGACACCCATAGAGACCCACAGAGAACCATAGACACCCATAGAGACCCATAGACACCCATAGCGACACCCATAGAGACCCATAGACACCCATAGAGACACCCACAGAGACCCATAGACACCCATAGAGACACCCATAGACACCCATAGAGATCCTCAGATTCACACGCCTAGAGACCCGTAGACACCCATAGACACCCATAGAGACCCACCCATAGACACCCATAGAGACACCCACAGAGAACCATAGAGACCCATAGACACCCATAGAGACACCCATAGAGACCCATACACACCCATAGAGACACACACAGAGACCTATAGACACCCATAGAGACCCATAGAGACACCCATAGAGACCCACCCATAGAGACCCACAGAGACACATAGACAACCATAGACACCCACAGAGACCCATAGACACCCACAGAGACCCATAGACACCCACAGAGACCCATAGACACCCACAGAGACCCATCGACACCCATAGACACCCACAGAGACCCATAGACACCCACAGAGACCCATAGACACCCACAGAGACCCACAGAGACACCCACAGAGACCCATAGACACCCATAGAGACCCATAGAGAAACCCATAGAGACCCACAGAGACCCACAGAGGCACCCATAGATACTCAGACCCACAGAGACACCCATACACACACACAGACATACACACAGACACACACACAGACACACAGACACACAAACAGACACACACACATAGACACACACACAGACACAACAACAAAAACAACAACAACCGCCATTCGCCACTAAGTGGCGGTGACGTCACCACGACGCTTGTGCCAGGCTATGTGCACCTTGAAGTGAAGTGTCGAACGCCCACTGACAGGAGGTCACGGGGCAGACCCAGGTGCCACGGGTCGACTGACTGAGACGACTGAGATGACTGGCTGATGCACCACCTGTGCCCCCTACTGTGCCAACCTGCTATGCTTTAGCCACCCGGCGCTCCGCTCGTTGTTGTGAGCGTCGCTCCTCCGCCCTCAGTTGTTGTTGGAGGGCGACTGCCTCCAACTGCCCAGTAGCAGCGTCCTTCACGAGCCTCCTCTACAGAGGCCAATCTTGACACAACTGGTACCAGTCATCAGCAAGTCCACTCAGCTCCACATCCTCCTGTACCACATCACTCCATCTCTACTCTAGCCCGTGCCGCGCCCGCTTAGCCACCTCAATCCGGCCGAACAAAAGCTGTTTCGGCATGCGGTGGCTGGGCATGCGGGCTACATGACCCAGCCAACGCAGCCTTGCCTGCCGGAAGAGCTCACCGATGGGACCTTGCCCAGATCTTTCAAGGATTTGTGAGCTCCTCACACAATCCAGCCCGGTTAAACCCAAGATGGATCGTAGGCAGGCTAGCCTAAATGTTTCTAACCGGCAAAGATGTTCCATTTGGTGGGTCCACGTTTCGCAAGCGAAGAGAAGGGAGGGAATGACCGTGGCCGAGAAGACCTGAAGCTTAGTGCAGAGCGACAGACCAGGTAGCTTCCACACAGCGTTACGCAACCGATGAAAAGATATTGCCGCTCAACTGATTCGGAGTGAGACCTCTGCTGTTAAACTGGAGCCAGTCATAAGCACACTGCCCAGGTATGGGAAACTCTCCACTCTCTCCACAACTGCCCCATCACCGATTGGGAGTTGTGGGGGTGGATTGTCAGATGGTACACAATACCCAGGTAGGTGCTTAGTTTTGGTGGGGCTGATGGTAAGGCCCCATCTCTTAGTGGCACGCTCCAGTCTCAGCAGGAGCGTCTCCAACTCCTCTTCTGAATGAGCAGCTATTACCAAATCATCGGCATCGGCATACATAACGTGGTATAGCAATAGGGAGCCATCCCTTGACCGCACCCGGGCATCGATCAGCCTCACATTATATCTGTACCATATGGAGATTCCCCCGGTACAGCTATTGAAGGCTTCACGAACTACGTGGTCGAAATAGATGTTAAATAATGTGGGAGCCAGAGGACATCCCTGTCGCACCCCAAGGTGTACAGGGAATGGCTCGGACTCCCGGCCGCGTAGTTTTACCCGGGCCCGCTCACCATCATGAAGGTCCTTAGTGATCGTGAGCAGAGGGTCAGGTACTCCAAAAGCACGAAGAACAACCCAGAGCCCAGGCCTACTGATGGTATCATAGGCCTTGACCAGGTTAATAAAGCAGAGATGTAGGTTTTGCTGGAATTCCCTACATGTCTGCTGTAGCAGACGGACAGAAAATATGGCATCTGTGCAGGACCGCCCTTTCCTGAACCGCATTGGGGCTCCGCAAGCCTCTACTCAGCGTGCCTAGCAAGGCGATGCTGAATAATCCTTGCCAGGACGTTTCCCGGCACATTGAGGAGTGAGATGCCCCTGTAGTTGTTACAGTCTGTGCGGTCCCCCTTCTTAAAGAGGGGGACCACCAGGGCATCCTTCCAATCCTGCGGAACCCGTCCAGTGGTCCAGACTGTTGTTATGATGTCATATAGGGCAGTCTGTGCACAAACGCCACCCTCCCTCAGCATTTCGCTTGGGAGATCATCTCTGCCCGCTGCCTTTCCTGGTCTCAGACTCCTGATCGCCTTCAATACTTCCTCAGCAGACGGCACCTCAGCCAGCCACTCACAGAGGGTGACTTCCTCCAATATTTGAGGCACTGTAGCCTCAGCAGGGTCATCCTCACTTTGTGCCACGATGTTTTCCTGGCTGAGGGATTTTCCCTCCCCCAAGACCTCACAGAAATGCTCAGCAAATCTGCAAACCTTTTCCTGGGAGTCGGAGATTAGATCACCATTTTGTCCCCTAATGATGGTAATAGGTGTGGCGCTGCAGGTTACTTTTTTGATGGAGTTAAATAGAGATTTGTGATCGCGGGCCACTGAGGCAGACTCCATCTCCTTAGCAACCCGCGACCACCACCCATCCTTGCAGCGCCTAACGGCTCTCCGAACCTCCGAGCGAAGGCTTGCAGCTGCATGAGTCACAGTCCCAAACCTCGCCCATTTACCCTCGACATCAGGAGGAGTGGGGGACGATGCCAACCCCAGCCGCAAGCGATGATGAAATTCTCGCTTGCAACTTTCATCAGATAACTGAGACCAGGCCACTTTTGGTTGGAATCGGGTCCTGGGTGTATACCCACCACCGGAGTAGAAGAATGGCAGGCGCATCTTACAGATGACAAGTCGATGGTCAGAGGGCAGATCAGCTCCACGGTAGGTCCTGGTGTCAAGGACATGGGCTCGCATCCGCTGGTCCGTCACTATGTAGTCCAGCAGATGTTCTTGCTTGGACCCGGCATTCATCCATGATGTTGTGTGGATGCGGCGATGCCGGAACAGCGTGTTGGTAATTACAAGCTGCACAAAAATCTAGCAGCCTCCTACCGTTGTTAGTGAGCTGATCCGGCCCATGCCCTCCAATCACTGCAGACCAGGTGCCAGCATCATGATCAACTCGGGCATTGAAGTCACCCAACATGATGACTCTATTCCGCGGGGCCACTTTAGCCAGCACCTGCGACAGGAGGTCATAGAAGGCATCTGACTCATCGGCTTTGCCTGCATCAATCCACGGATGTTCATCTTCGGTGGGGGCATAAGTAACCACGACCACCAATCCTCGCCTCTGATTGATGGGAAGGCGAGCCTAAAGTAGCCTGGGGTTTACAGCTTCCCACACCTCACCGCCACGCTCCCACGCCCCCTTCATTCTTTTGTTCAAAAGAAGAGCCACACCCTGTTGTTTGGCAGTCTGCTGCCCCGAGTAGAGGACTGTCCATCCCTCATGGTGGCAGGAGCCAGAACTGGTCCACCGGACCTCCTGAATGCCACAGAGTTCAAGGCGGTACCGGTCCAGCTCCCGACAGAGTAGTGGCAGCCTCTCCTTCGCAGTGAGCGTTCGAACATTCCACGTGGCCACCCGTAGTGGCTTTTCGTTGTTTCTGGAGGAGCCTCGAGGGTAGAGATTCAATCTCCTGGCTCTGCCAATTGGTGTTTGGCCAGGAGACGTCATAGATGCCTGTTCCCCCGGGGCCTCCGGCACAAGCTTATTAGTTACATAATTAAGTCGAAGTTTTGTGGTAATTTTTTGAAGGTGGAGGGGTTACCACCCCCTCGCACCCGTCCAGAGCCCCCGTTTAGACCCTGTGGTGGTCACAGACGCCATGAGGGGAGGAGCCAATTGGAATTGGCCCTCCCCCCACAGCATTGTCCACGACAGAGTTGCCCATCCGGCACCGCGAGGAGGTAGGGGGTTGTTTTGCCAGACACACACGTACACACACACACAGACACACACACACACACAGACACACACACACAGACACACAGACACAGACACACACAGACAGACACACAGACACACACAAACACAAACACACACACACACAAACACACACACAGACACACTGCAAGCCTCTCACTATGTAGACTTTGATATCAACGCAGGCCTTGCCGCTCTCTGCTCCGCCGGCCACGCTGACGTTACTCCGCTTGAAGCTCGTGCCCACGGCTCCTGCTGATGCTGAGGCTGCTGCTGAGGCTGCTGCTGAGGAGGCTGAGGAGGCTGAGGAGGCTGAGGAGGCTGCTGAGGATGCTGCCCTGTTGAAGGTCGCTCTTGGCGCTCGCTTGCCCACGTCCAGCGAGATGTCGTAGGTGGCCACCAGGGTGGGGACGTCTGGGGTGGGTGGGGGGGGGGGGGGGGGGGGAGAGGCGTAGTGTAGTGTATAGTGTAGTGTATAGTGTAGTGCATAGTGTAGTGTATAGTGTAGTGTATAGTGTAGTGTATAGTGTAGTGTATGGTGTAGTGTAGTGGATAGTGTAGTGTATAGTGTAGTGTATAGTGTAGTGTGTAGTGTAGTGTATAGTGTAGTGTAGTGTGTAGTGTAGTGTATAGTGTAGTGTATAGTGTAGTTTATAGTGTAGTGTATAGTGTAGTGTGTAGTGTAGTGTATAGTGTAGTAGTGTATAGTGTAGTGTATAGTGTAGTGTATAGTGTAGTGAATAGTGTAGTGTATAGTAATGTATAGTGTAGTGTATAGTGTAGTAGTGTATAGTAGTGTAGTGTATAGTGTGCGTATAGTGTAGTGTAGTGTGTAGTGGAGTGTTTAGTGTAGTGTGTAGTGTATAGTGTAGTGTGTAGTGTAGTGTATAGTGTAGTATGTAGTGTAGTGTATAGTGTAGTGTATAATGTAGTGTATAGTGTATTGTGTAGTGTAGTGTATAGTGTAGTAGTGTGTAGTGTATAGTGTAGTGTAGTGTATAGTGTATAGTAGTGTAGTGTATAGTGTAGTGTAAAGTAGTGTATAGTGTAGTGTATAGTGTAATGTATAGTGTAGTGTATAGTGTAGTGTATAGTGTAATGTATAGCAGTGTATAGTGTAGTGTATAATGTAGTGTATAGTGTAGTGTATAGTATAGTGTAGTGTATAGTAGTGTAGTGTATAGTGTAGTGTATAGTGTAGTGTATAGTAGTGTATCGTGTAGTGTATCGTGTAGTGTATAGTAGTGTATAGTGTAGTGTATATTGTAGTGTATAGTGTAGTGTATAGTGTAGTGTATAGTAGTGTATAGTATAGTGTATAGTGTAGTGTATAGTGTAGTGTAGTGTATAGTGTAGTGTATAGTGTGTGTATAGTGTAGTGTATAGTGTATAGTGTAGTGTATAGTGTAGTGTATAGTGTAGTGTATAGTGTAGTGTATAGTGTGTGTATAGTGTAGTGTAGTGTATAGTGTAGTGTATAGTGTATAGTAGTGTATAGTGTATAGTATAGTGTGTAGTGTATAGTGTAGTGTGTAGTGTATAGTGTAGTGTATAGTGTATAGTGTAGTGTATAGTGTAGTGTATAGTGTAGTGTATAGTGTAGTGTATAGTGTAGTGTATTGTAGTGTATAATGAATTGTATAGTGTAGTCTATAGTGTAGTGTAGTGTATAGTGTAGTGTAATGTATAGTGTAGTGTATAGTGTAGTGTGTAGTGTAGTGTATAGTGTAGTGCATAGTAGTGTATAGTGTAGTGTATATTGTAGTGTAGAGTGTAGTGTATAGTAGTGTATAGTGTAGTGTATAGTGTATAGTGTAGTGTAGTGTATAGTGTAGTGTATAGTGTGTGTAGTGTAGTGTATAGTGTATAGTAGTTTATAGTGCATAGTGTAGTGTATAGTGTAGTGTAAAGTGTAGTGTATAGTGTGTGTATAGTGTAGTCTGTAGTGTAGTGTATAGTGTAGTGTATAGTGTGTATATAGTGTAGTGTATAGTGTAGTGTATAGTGTATAGTAGTGTAGTGTGTAGTGTATAGTGTACTGTATAGTGTAGTGTATAGTGTAGTGTATAGTGTAGTGTATAGTGTAGTGTAGTGTATAGTGTAGTGTATAGTGTAGTGTACAGTGTAGTGTATAGTAGTGTATAGTGTAGTGTATAGTGTAGTGTATAGTGTAGTGTATAGTGTAGTGTATAGTGTAGTGTATAGTGTAGTGTGTAGTTTATAGTAGTGTATAGTAGTGTAGTGTATAGTATAGTGTATAGTGTAGTATATAGTGTAGTGTATAGTGTAGTGTATTGTGTAGTGTCTAGTGTAGTGTATAGTGTATAGTGTAGTGTATAGTGTAGTGTATAGTGTGGTGTATAGTGTAGTGTATAGTGAAGTGTATAGTGTAGTGTATAGTGTAGTGTGTAGTGTATAGTGTAGTGTAGTGTGTAGTGTATAGTGTAGTGTATAGTGTAGTGTGTAGTGTAGTGTGTAGTATAGTGTATATTGTAGTGTATAGTGTAGTGTATAGTAGTGTAGTGTATAGTGTAGCGTATAGTGTAGTGTATAGTGTAGTGTATACTGTGTAGTGTATAGTGTAGTGTATTGTGTAGTGTTTAGTGTAGTGTATAGTGGTGTATAGTGTATAGTGTAGTGTATAGTGTAGTGTATAGTGTAGTGTATAATGTAGTGTATAGTGTAGAGTATAGTGTAGTGTATAGTATAGTGTATAGTGTAGTGTATAGTGTAGTGTATAGTGTAGTGTTTAGTGTAGTGTATAGTGTAGTGTAGAGTATAGTGTAGTGTATAGTGTATAGTGCAGTGTATAGTGTAGTGTATAGTGTAGTGTATAGTGTATAGTATAGAGTATAGTGTAGTGTATAGTGTAGTGTATAGTGTAGTGTATAGTGTATAGTGTAGTGTATAGTGTAATGTATAGTGTATAGTGTAGTGTATAGTGTAGTGTATAGTGTAATGTATAGTGTAGTGTATAGTGTAGTGTATAGTGCAGTGTATAGTGTAGTGTATAGTGTAGAGTATAGTGTAGTGTATAGTGTAGTGTATAGTGTAGTGTATAGTGTAGTGTATAGTGTAGTGTATAGTGTAGTGTATAGTGGAGTGTATAGTGTAGTGTATAGTGTAGTGTATAGTGTATAGTGTAGCGTATAGTGTAGTGTATAGTGTAGTGTATAGTGTAGTGTATATTGTAGTGTATAGTGTAGTGTATTGTGTAGTGTATAGTGTAGTGTATAGTGTAGTGTATAGTGTATAGTGTAGTGTATAGTGTAGTGTATAGTGTAGTGTATAGTGTAGTGTACAGTGTAGTGTAGTGTTTAGTGTATAGTGTAGTGTATAGTGTAGTGTAATGTGTAGTGTAGTGTATAGTGTAGTGTATAGTGTAGTGTATGGTGTAGTGTAGTGTGTAGTGTAGTGTATAGTGTAGTGTATAGTGTATAGTGTAGTGTATAGTGTAGTGTATAGTGTAGTGCATAGTGTAGTGTAATCTGTAGCAAATCCGCGGGTCTCCGCACTTCTCTCCACGTGGGCGCTGTGGGAGACGAAGCAGACGCTGAGGGTGATCATGGAGGTGGAGGAGGATGAGGAGGTGGAGGAGGAGGAGGAGGAGGAGGAGGAGGTGGAGGATGGGTTGGGACATCTCTGATCATGCAGAGGAATCCGTGCGGGCTTGAACGTGAGGGTCAAGCTCACGTTCACTATCGGACGAGACCTGAGGGCGGATCACCATCATCAGCATCAGCATCATAATCAATCATCATTAGTCATCATCATCACCACCATCATAATCAATCATCATTAGTCATCATCATCATCATCACCATCATTAGTCATCATCATCATCACCATCATTAGTCATCATCATCATCACCATCATTAGTCATCATCATCACCATCATTAGTCATCATCATCATCACCATCATCATCATCAATCATCATTAGTCGTCATCGTCATCATCACCATCATTAGTCATCATCATCATCACCATCATAATCAATCATCATTAGTCATCATCATCACCACCATCATAATCAATCATCATCAGTCATCATCATCACAATCATTAGTCATCATCATCATCACTATAATAATCAATCATCATTAGTCATCATCATCGTCATCACCATCATTACTCATCATCATCATCAGCACCATCATTAGTCATCATCATCATCACCATCATTAGTTATCATCATCATCAACATCATAATCAATCATCATTAGTCATCATCATCACCATCATAATCAATCATCATTAGTCATCATCATCATCACCATCATTAGTCATCATCATCATCATCACCATCATTAGTCATCATCATCATCACCATCATTAGTCATCATCATCACCATAATAATCAATCATCATTAGTCATCACCATCATAATTAATCATCATTAGTCATCATCATCACCACCATCATAATCAATCATCATTAGTCATCATCATTAGTCATCATCATCATCAGTCATCGTTATATTTGTATAGGAACGCAGAGACCCTGAGTCTATGGATATCTGTGTTAACCTTTGGCTCTCTGCAACAGTACACACACGATAAACTACACTATACTCTATACTATACACTACACTATACACTACTATACACTACACTATACACTACACTATACACTACTATACACTACACTATACACTACACTATACCACTACACTATACACTACACTATACACTACTATACACTACACTATAAACTACACTATACACTACACACTACATTATACACTACAATATACACTACATTATACACTACACTATACATTACACTACACTATACACTACACTATACACGACACTACTATACACTACACTACACATTACACTATACACTACACTGTACACTACTAAACACTACACCATACACTACTATACACTACACTATAGACTACACTATACACTACATTATACACTACTATACATTACACTATACACTACACTATACACTACACTATACACTACTATACACTACACTATACACTACACTATACACTACACTATACACTACACTATACACTACTATAAACTACACTATACACTACAATCTACACTACACTATACACTACACTACACACTACACTATACACTACACTATACACTACTATAAACTACACTATACACTACACTATACACTACACTATACACTACACTATACACTACTATAAACTACACTATACACTACAATCTACACTACACTATACACTACACTACACACTACACTATACACTACACTATACACTGTACTATACACTACTATACACTACACTATACACTACTATACACTACACTACTATACACTACTATACACTACACTATACACTACACACTACACACTACACTATACACTACACTATACACTACACTATACACTACACTACACTATACACTACACTATACACTACACTACACTACACACTATACTACACACTACATTATACACTATACTATACACTACTATACACTGCACTACTATACACTACACAATACACTACACTATATGCTATACTATACACTACACTATACACTACACTATACACTACTATACACTAAACTATACACTACACTATACACTACACTATACACTACTATACACTACACTATACACTACACTATACACTAGACTACGCACTACACTATACACTACTATACACTACACTACTATACAGTACACTACTATACACTACACTATACACTACACTATACACTATACTATACACTACACTATACACTACATTATACACTACACTATACACTACTATACACTACACGCTATACACTACACTATACACTACACGCTATAAACTACACTATATACTACACTATACACTACTATACACTACACTATACACTACACTATACACTACCCACAACAATACACTATACACTTCACTATACACTACACTATACACTACACTAGACACTACACACTACACTATACTATACACTATACACTACACACTACACTATACACTACACTATACACTATACAATACAGTATACACTACTATACACTACACTATACACTGCACTACTATACACTATACTACACAATACACTATACACTACACACTACACTGTACACTACATTATACACTACACTATACACTACACTATACACTACTACACTATACACTACACTATAAACTACTATATACTGCTATACACTACACTATACACTACACGATAAACTACACTATACACTACACTATACACTACACTATACATTACACTATAGTAGTATAGTAGTGTAGTGTACAGCAGTGTAGTGTGTAGTAGTGTAGTGTAGTGTATAGTGTATTGTATAGTAGTGTATAGTGTAGTGTATAGTGTAGTGTATAGTGTATAGTGTAGTGTATAGTGTAGTGTATAGTGTAGTGTGGGAGTGTATAGTGTAGTGTATAGTGTAGTGTATAGTGTAGTGTATAGTAGTGTATAGTGTAGTGTATAGTGTAGTGTATAGTGTAGTGTTTAGTGTAGTGTATTGTATAGTGTAGTGTAGTGTATAGTGTGTAGTGTATAGTGTAGTGTATAGTGTAGTATATAGTGTATAGTGATTGTGTATAGTAGTGTACAGTGTAGTGTATAGTGCAGTGTATAGTGTAGTGTATAGTGTAGTGTATAGTGTAGTGTATAGTAGTGTATAGTGTAGTGTATAGTGTAGTAGTGTATAGTGTAGTGTATAGTGTAGTGTAGTAGTGTATAGTGTAGTGTATAGTAGTAGTGTATAGTGTAGTGTAGTAGTGTATAGTGTAGTGTATAGTGTAGTGTATAGTGTAGTGTATAGTGTAGTGAAGTAGTGTATAGTGTAGTGTACTAGTGTATAGTGTAGTGTAGTAATGTATAGTGTAGTGTAGTAGTTTATAGTGTAGTAGTGTATAGTGTACTGTAGTAGTGTATAGTGTAGTGTATAGTGTAGTGTATAGTGTAGTGTATAGTGTAGTGTGGGAGTGTATAGTGTAGTGTATAGTGTAGTGTATAGTAGTGTATAGTGTAGTGTATAGTGTAGTGTATAGTGTGTAGTGTATAGTGTAGTGTATAGTGTAGTATATAGTGTATAGTGATTGTGTATAGTAGTGTACAGTGTAGTGTATAGTGCAGTGTATAGTGTAGTGTATAGTGTAGTGTATAGTGTAGTGTATAGTAGTGTATAGTGTAGTAGTGTATAGTGTAGTAGTGTATAGTGTAGTGTATAGTGTAGTGTAGTAGTGTATAGTGTAGTGTATAGTGTAGAGTAGTAGTGTATAGTGTAGTGTATAGTGTAGTGTATAGTGTAGTGTATAGTGTAGTGAAGTAGTGTATAGTGTAGTGTACTAGTGTATAGTGTAGTGTAGTAATGTATAGTGTAGTAGTGTATAGTGTAGTAGTGTATAGTGTACTGTAGTAGTGTATAGTGTAGTGTATAGTGTAGTGTATAGTAGTGTATAGTGTAGTGTATAGTGTAGTGTATAGTGTAGTGTATAGTAGTGTATAGTGTAGTGTAGTAGTGTATAGTGTAGTGTATAGTGTAGTGTATAGTGTAATGTATTTAAATCTCCCGTCACGGTAACGTGGAGTTTCCCACCCTCACCTCAGCACCAGGGCGTTGCCCAACGCTCCCACGGCCAAATCCCTGAGGCCGTCGCCGCTGACGTCCATCAGCGAGTGGAGCGACCTCCCAAACATTCTCACTCGGCCACTCTGAGAGCTTCCAGAGATCCTCTGAAACCAGACACACACTCACACACTCACTTACACACTCACTTACACACTCACTTACAACTCACTTACACACTCACTTACACACTCACACACTTACACACTCACACACTCACTCGCTCACCCATCCATCAGCGAGTGGAGCGACCTCCCAAACATTCTCACTCGGCCACTCTGAGAGCTTCCAGAGATCCTCTGAAACCAGACACACACTCACACACTCACTTACACACTCACTTACACACTCACTTACAACTCACTTACACACTCACTCACACACTTACACACTCACTTACACACTCACTTACACACTCACTCACACACTTACACACTCACAAACACACTCACTTACACACTCACTTACACACTCACTCACACACTTACACACTCACTTACACACTCACTTACACACTTACACACTCACTTACACACTCACTTACACACTCACTTACACACTCACTCACACACTTACACACTCACTTACACACTCACTTACACACTTACACACTCACTTACACACTCACTTACACACTCACTTACACACTCACACACTCACTCGTTCACCCATCCATCAGCGAGTGGAGCGACCTCCCAAACATTCTCACTCGGCCACTCTGAGAGCTTCCAGAGATCCTCTGAAACCAGACACACACTCACACACTCACTTACACACTCACTTACACACTCACTTACACACTCACTCACACACTTACACACTCACTTACACACTCACTTACACACTCACTCACACACTTACACACTCACAAACACACTCACTTACACACTCACTTACACACTCACTCACACACTTACACACTCACTTACACACTCACTTACACACTTACACACTCACTTACACACTCACTTACACACTCACTTACACACTCACTTACACACTCACTCACACACTTACACACTCACTTACACACTCACTTACACACTTACACACTCACTTACACACTCACTTACACACTCACTTACACACTCACACACTCACTCGTTCACCCATCCATCAGCGAGTGGAGCGACCTCCCAAACATTCTCACTCGGCCACTCTGAGAGCTTCCAGAGATCCTCTGAAACCAGACACACACTTCTAGATTTGAAGCTTTCGTGACTGCAAGGATCCATACTCTTTGGTTCTATTCGGTAAAGTCACGTAGGTAAATAATAAAACAACAATAATCACGACGTTTCGGCCACAACACAAGCGGCCTTCATCAGGTGAAGGGACGAGACTGTCTGGAGGACAGCGCTGGAGTGGAAGAAGCCACGCTTAGATCACGACATTTAAGCTGTGTGAGAAGAAGACCACGGGCTTTGACAAAGGAATTAGCATATAATTTAGCATTGAAATGGCTCGTTGAAATAGCTAAGTTAAAGTATACACATCCGCAGAGGTGCCCCTTGACAAAGGGAATTAGCATCGAATTTAGCATTGAAATAGCTGAGTGATTAGCTTGTAACTGGTCACAGAAATAGCTATGTTAAAGTCAGAGTATATACATTCACCGAGGCACCTAGTACTCATCAAACAGGAGAATTTAGCGAAACACAACCACGCTCAGACATCGGACCTGTGTGCGAGCAAAGAGGTGGTGTACGTGCCGGTGGACTTGCAGTTTGGCGAGGGGAAAGGGGGGAGGGGGATTTTACCCATTGATGGTGTGAAAATGGGAATTTATAAGAGCTGCAAAAGTTTGGGGTACCACTACTCGAAAAATATACTGTACCATTGAAATTAGTTTAATGTTTAGTTCGATTTAGAACATCTTTCCAATGGTTGCTTAATTTGAAACCATCCTCTTGGTTGAAATTGTGTCTGTGTTTGTAGATCTGAATTGCTTCGTGAACAAATCTCTGATAAAAGCCCGTGGGTTTGCAAAGAACCTTGGTATCGGAGAAAATTATATCGTGATCACCCACAGCGTTGTAACAGTGATCAGCTACGGCAGAAGAATTCGTTTTTGCCGTGTTTCAAATCTGATTTGTGCTCGCGAATTCGGTCAGAGACATGTCGCTTTGTCTCACCGATGTAGCAATAACCGCAGGTACAACTCAATTTGTAAACCCCGGGGTACTGTAAATCAGGAATGACATCCTTCACGGATGGGATCAGATCACGAATTTTGTGTACTGTATTGAACCGGACCTGGATCTTGTGTTTGTTTAGAATTTTGGAAATCTTTTTAGTAACGCCTGCTATATATGGAAGTGTGATGGTTTTGACCATCATTCTCCCTCGGCCACTCTGAGAGCTTCCAGAGATCCTCTAAAACCAGACACACACTCACACACTCACTTACACACTCACTTACACACTCATACACACACTCACTCAATCACACACTCACTCACGCACTCATACACACACTCACCTACTCACTCACCCACTCACTCACTCACCCACCAACTCACCCACTCACTAACCCACTCACTCACTCACCCACTCACACACTCACTCACCCACCCACTCACTCACCTACTCACTCACCCACTCACTCACTCACTCACTAACCCACCCACACACCCACTCATTCACTCACCCACTCACTCACTCACTCACCCACTCACCCACTCACTCACTCACCTACTCACTCACCCACTCACTCACCCACTCACTCACTCACCCACTCACCCACTCACTCACTCACTCACCCACTCATTCACTCACCCACTCACTCACTCAATCACCTACTCACTCACTCACCCACCCACTCACCCACTCACTCACTCATTCACCCACCCACCCACTCACCCACCCACTCACCTACTCACTCACCTACTCACTCACCCACTCACTCACTCACTCACTCACCCACTCACTCACTCATCCACTCACTCACTCACTCACCCACTCACTCACCCACTCACTCACTCACCCACTCACTCACTGACTCACTCACTCACCCACCCACCCACTCACTCACTCACCCACTCACTCACCTACTCACTCACCCACTCACTCACACACTCACTCACCCACTCACTCACCCACTCACTCACCTACTCACTCACTCACTCACCCACTCACTCACCCACTCACTCACCCACTCACTCACTCACCCACTCACTCACTGACTCACTCACTCACCAACCCACCCACTCACTCACTCACCCACTCACTCACCTACTCACTCACCCACTCACTCACACACTCACTCACCCACTCACTCACCCACTCACTCACCTACTCACTCACTCACTCACCCACTCACTCACCCACCCACACACCCACCTACACACTCACTCACCCACTCACTCACTCACTCACCCACTCACTCACCTACTCACTCACCCACTCATTCACTCACCCACTCACCCACTCACTCACTCACCCACTCACTCACTCACTCACCCACCCACCCACTCACTCACTCACTCACCCACACACCCAATCACCCACCCACACACCCACTCACCCACTCACACACTCACCCACCCACTCACCCACCCACACACCCACTCACCCACCCACACATCCACTCACCCACCCACACACCCACCCACCCACTCACCTACTCACTCACTCTCTCACCCACCCACTCACTCACTCACTTACTCACCCACTCACTCACTCACTCACCTACTCACTCACTCACTCACCCACCCACTCACTCACTCACTTACTCACCTACTCACTCACTCACTCACCCACTCACTCACTCACCCACCCACCCACTCACTCACTCATTCACCCACCCACCCACTCACCCACCTACTCACTCACCCACACACTCACTCACTCACCCACACACTCACTCACCTACTCACTCACTCACACACCCACCCACCCACGTGGTAATTAATCCAGATACTCTCTACCAGAGCACAGGTAGAGTTACATGTAGACTCACCCAGAGACTCTCTACCAGATGACAAAGGCAGCAATCACGTGGGAATTAATCCAGAGACTCTCTACCAGGGCACAGGTGGAGTCATGCTGTAGACTCACCCAGAGACTCTCTACCAGATGGCAAAGCTAGCACCACATCTGAGTTCATCTGGAGACTCTCCACCAGATGACAAAGACAGCAAACACGTGGGAATTTATCCAGCTACTCTCTACCAGGGCACAGGTGGAGTCAAGATGTAGATTCACCCAGAGACTCTCTACCAGATATCAAAGCTAGCACCACATGTGAGTTCATCTGGAGACTCTCCACCAGAGGGCAAAGCGAGCAACACGTGGGAATTAATCCAGATACTCTCTACCACAGCACAGGTAGAGTTACATGTAGACTCACCCAGAGACACTCTACCAGATGGCAAAGGTAGCAAACACGTGGAGAATTAATCCAGATACTCTCCACCAGAGCACAGGTGGAGTCATGCTGTAGACTCACCCAGCGACTCTCTACCAGATGCCAAAGCTAGCACCACATCTGAGTTCATCTGGAGACTCTCCACCAGATGACAAAGTTAACAAACACGTGGAGATTAATCCAGATACTCTCTACCAGAGCACAGGTAGAGTTATATGTAGACTCACCCAGAGACTCTCTACCAGATGCCAAAGCTAGCACCACATGTGAGTTCATCTGGAGACTCTCCACCAGATGACAAAGTTAGCAAACACGTGGGAATTAATCCAGAGACTCTCTACCAGGGCACAGGTGTAGTCACCCAGAGAGTCTCGACCAGATGTCAAATATAGCACCACATGTGAGTTCAACTGGAGACTCTCCACCAGATGACAAAGGCAACAAACACGTAGGAATTAATCCAGAGACTCTCTACCAGAGCAAAGGTAGAGATACATGTAGACTCACCCAGAGACTCTCTACCAGATGGCAAAGGTAGCAAACACGCTCGCTCACGCTCACACACACTCACACACACTCACGCTCACACACTCACACACACTCACGCTCACACACACTCACACACACACTCACACACACACTCACACACACACACTCACTCACGCTCACACACACACACTCACACACTCTCACACACACTCACTCACACTCTTACACACTCACACACACTCACGCTCACACACTCTCACACACACACTCACACACACTCTCACACACACACTCACACTCACTCACACACTCACACACACACACTCACACACTAACTCACTCACACACACTCACTCACACTCACACACACTCACACACACACACTCACGCTCACACTCACCCACATACCCACACACTCACACACACACACTCACACACACACACTCACTCACACACACACACTCACTCACGCTCACACACACCCACACACCCACACACTCACACACACACACTCACACACACACACTCACACGCTCACACACACACACACTCACTCACACACACACTCACACACACACACTCACACACTCACACACACACTCACACACACACACTCACACACACACTCACACACACCCACATACCCACACACACACTCACACACACTCACACACACTCTTACACACACACACACACACTCTTACACACACACTCTCACACACACTCACACACACTCACACACACTCACACACACACACTCACTCACACTCACACACTCACACACACACACTCTTACACACTCACACTCACACACACACACTCACACACACACTCACACACACCCACATACACACACACACACTCACACACACTCACACACACTCTTACACTCACACACACACACACACACTCTCACACTCACACACACACTCTCACACTCACACACACGCTCACACACTCTCACACACACTCACACACACACACACTCTCACACTCACACACACTCGCTCACACTCACGCTCACACACACTCACGCTCACACACTCACACACACACTCTCACACTCACACACACGCTCACACACTCACGCTCACACACACTCACGCTCACACACTCACACACACTCACACTCACACACTCACGCTCACACACACACTCACGCTCACACACACACACTCACACACACACTCACGCTCAAACTCACACACACTCACACACACACTCACACACACTCACACACACACTCACACACACTCACTCACACACACACTCACACACTCACGCTCACACACTCACACACTCACACACACACACACTCTTAC